GGGGGGGGGGGGGGAGGGACAAGAGGTGAAATGGAAAACATTAAAAGGAGCCGCTGCAGGAACATTTCCAGCCTGATTTACAGAGATCCCTACAGTTTACTTTACAGGCTTGTAACTTGGATATTCCAACTATCTTAACGTTTCTGAATTTCAGGACATGTACACCTGTCATTGCGAAATAGATTCAATACTTAACTTTTAAGATAAAATTTGTTTTACTTAGTTTAACATTGATTAGAAGAAATATTGGGTTAAGCGTCCATCTGATTCGAATGTAAAATTAGTCATGAAAAGGGTCAGGACATGCTTCTAAAGTTCAAAGAATAACTGGATACTAAATATATAACATTCATGTTATGGAAGAATAAGTTTTTGTGACAGACAAGAGGCCTGTACCTCCCTGAGATTAAATTTAGTGCAGACACAGATGCCTCGGTTAGAGAGAAATTTCTATCTTAACTGACCTGACAATAGGAATGTCACGAAAGATAGAAGGTATATGTGGGAGAGTATTTCTCAGATAAAAGGTGTATGTGGGAGAGTATTATGGGTTTAATGTATTACATGATCTTACTATTAAAAGATACTCATCTTTTTAAAAGGTCACTGTGAAAATTTTATTAAAAATTGAAAACCTATAAAAAATTTCAAAAGACTACAAAACCATTCTGCTGCTATTTAAACATCAATTATATCATATTGTAAGAAAATTATCTCGTATTCTTCCAGATCCAAGTTGCAGCCTTCCTGCCTCTTCCATACCATTGAGTATCATTATAAACAAAGGCTTCAAATAGAGTTTACAATAAAATTATATATTCCTTTTTTAATTAGACTGATTAATATGAATTTTAAGAATTTTAAAGAAAAGAGATTGGCTCCCCAAAAATCTAAAAGATCTTCAGGTGGAAATGGTTTTAAATTATGTTAAAATAAAGGAGTATATTTCCAAACAACAGCCTTTACTTTTGATTACTCCTGAAATCTTCAAGAGGTTTTTGGCTTTTTCACTGAAAAATATAAGAAGATTAAATCTATCTAGACACTATATAATATCTTTATACGGCTGTACAAAACCCTTTAGTTTTTCCTAGTATATAATTTTAAAAGGGATATTCGTCCATTTAAAACTTGGCAAATGGCAAAGTTAATTAAGAAATAGTGCTAATTCCACTGCATTTACAATATTTATTTTTTTAATGTCTTTTCTTTCTCATTGTCTATGCAAAAGACCCACACAAATGACAGGCAAACTGACTGGCTTTTGTCAGAGAAAACAGTGAAACAAACTTCAAACAAAGTCCTATGGAATGTACAAAGTAAACCAACAGGAAAAATAGTCCCCATCAGTCCCCCACCCCCTGTCTAATCTTTCAATTACAAGTTAGGCAGAGTAAGTCAAGTGAATCTTTTTTAGTCCTTTCAAAGCCCCCCACCTCTTTCCCTCCAAAATGCACCTGGACTGCACTATGCAACAAGTTTAGTTAAAAGGTATTTTTGAATTAATCCTTTGATACCAGTTAACAGTGCTCCGATGAGAGCAAAAACAATTCCTAGCATCAAGTGCTAGAATGATGCTGAAGTACAACAGTTTTTTATCAAATAGTTTTATTCAAAATTAATCTCCACCTTCCCTTGGTGTGTGGCTGGGGCTAAAATATTTACCTAAATACCACCTCTGTATGAAAAAAAAAAACGTCAAGAGATCCGCACAAGGAAGCAGCTAGTTTTAAAACACTTTGCTATCCATACTACTTCTAAAAAGTTAATGCATTTTGTTTCTGTAAAGTATTCCAAAACAAAATATAAGAATAGCATTTTCTTGGCAAAAATGATACTGGTATAAGCTGTTCCAATATAACTTGTTACATCTTCAAGCACCTATAGAGATACAAGTGGAGCAAAACCACTGTAAATCTAACACTATTAAACACAGAGGGAAAGTTACAGAAATGTCGCTTATTTATACTGCCATAGGAGTATGCAGACAGAACAGCTAAATGGAAATAGCTGATGCATCTTCCCAAATAGCAATGCTTCCTTTCTTTTTAAAGCAACTGAATTGAAATGTTACGTTTGTCCTGAGTGAAAGTACGGCCAATCCAACTCTTATTTCAGGAATAACTTCTATCGTGTAAAAGTGTAATGCATTTATTTTGAGAAACGAATAACAAAACTATCATTGCAATTTTCAGAGGAGAATCAAAGTTGTTTGCAAACATATTTCACAATCAACTTATACAGCCAGTATATCTGAGTAGAGAAACCCAAGGGCCAGAATGTAACTGGTTATCCATGGTCATTGTCCTAGCCACCTGATCACCCTCCAGGGAGCACATTTTATCATCTTTCACATCACCATTTTACCTTTGCATTGGAAGCTTCCATAACTGGTTTGTTTTCAATTTCAATTGTATTTTTCGCCAGTTCAGATTCTGCTTGTTTCAAAGCATTCTGCAAAACAGTTTTTTCTCGCTGCCAAGCAGCCCTTTCCAGTCCCTGGACAGGGTCAGCATCCTCCATAGACCTGATCTAAAAATGAAATTCAGGGACAGTGAACCTTGATGGATATTTTATAGTCTATTTCCAGAGGGATGCAAAGTTTTACCTTTTAAACCAAAAATAAGTAACAACCCGACTTTAGGGAAAAACATAGAATGCTGGAACAACTAGACCGGAATTTCCCATCAGCACAAACATGCTAACCAGATACAATAGGAATTAAATTGCAACTTCTGTCTATATTAACAGTTAAAGATTTTTATTAACAGTCTTAAGATTTTTCAGGGCAGGAACTGTCTACCTTTAGACAACTCTCTTTCATCTTGGTATCAAAGTGGGTCCCAATATTTGAAATAGAAATTAATCTTTCTTTTTTCCCCCTTCCTTTTGCATTCTAAAAGATAAATTTGTGTATTTATACCAAGTTGTGAGTTCATGCATAGGATATGAAAAAATAGGTTTTGTATTTGATTCTTCAAATGGTTAGTTCCAGGTCTCACAACTTTTGCAGAAATGAATTCTTACCCCACGTCAAACTCCTCTGAATGATCTGTTTCCAGCACTCATGAGTCTCCGACCAGTCAACAAAGTCATGCTTCCAGTGTAATGTAGCTATCCTAACAGGTCATGCCAACAGAGGGTGGGGAAATTTCTCAGCTGCCTAAGTATATTTCTTTGATTTCATGTATTCATCAGGAAACCAGTACATAGAACAGGGTAAGATAGCAAACATGCAGTGACTTTTGATACTACTGGATGCACTGGTTGTACCAATAGGATCTTTTTCAAAACGTGTGGCTTTCCCAACAATAAATCAATATCCACCAGTATGTGCCATAACACTTTGTATTTGGAAGGCCATAGTATACAAGGTAAAAAAAACAAACCCCAATATAAGCCTATCTTAATTTATTAATATTTGATTAGGCTCTGCCAGTTGCATGTCTCAACACTCCCTGTGTGTGTGTATATAACTATGAGATACCAAAGAAGTATACATCAATATGTACCTGTCCATTGCCATTTCCCCTATGTAGGTGCTGCTGAAGTTTCTTCTCAAGTCGAGAAACTGCAGCTTTTAACTCTAGCTTCTCATCTGTCATTGCTGTTACAGACTTTGTAAGTTCGCCATTTTCTTTCAACAAGACATCTACCAGAGAAACTGGATCCTGTGATGGGTTCTTTTAAAAAAAATAATGAGAAAAAATACAACTCAAGAATTCAACCAACATAATTTCACCAACAAATAAACCAGACTGCAGATCCCTGTAGCTTTTATTTTGAAACTCATTTTAAAATTGTAAAAGGCAAAGAATAAAGCCTTCCTCTCTACAAAAGCACAGCTGAGAAAAGATCCTGATCATCATTTTAAGTGTAATTTTTCCTCAAAGGTGACTTAAGACAAACTTAGATAAAACAGATCATACAAAATGTGTGATTTTTTTAAGGTTGTAATTTTTTGACCAATTTCAGTCACATTTTTCAAAAAAGATAAATATGTCATAACAGTTCACTTTTCTCCACACTGTTTAATAATATCAGCAGTTTTACAAAATAGTTGCATTTGTTGTGTTTTATAGTCATTATAATGTAATAAAGTTCCTTACAATTTTGCAGTTTTGATATAGTATTATTCGCCTATCAATGGCAATTCCACCTTTGAAGTGATACTTCCCTTTTAAATGTGTTTGGAGCTAGACTAATGTTTATAATTTTGCTTACAACTGCTATTTATTTGATTTCTAGGTTAAGATCTTGCCCTAAGATTGGTATCTAAACACAAGAAACTTTCTTTAATACATGAAAATCTAAATTCACAGGGATAATTTAAGTGTCAGCCCTCTGAAGTTTATTTCTGACCTTTCACTACCTTTGGGTTAGTAGAAGAGAAGCAAAATTCAAGTGGGAACCAAGCAAAGAACTTCGGTGTGCATAAAAGTCTGAGCCCCTGAAGGTCAGCACAGAGGGAAACAGACTGGAGAGGTACAGACTGCTCTCAGAATATCTTATGCCTCTTGATGTTTCAGGTAAGACAGATGCATTGAAAACCTTTATTAGCATTATGCTTTTTGCATACTTTTACAGTTAAATGATTCCTGGGTGGAATAACTGGTTTTGGTAACTATTCACACTGGTCACAGTGTTGAAAGTTTTGCAGGGTAGACAGAAACAGTTGGCCTACTGTGTAACGATGGGTGGTCTACTGAACTGCATGACTGCACTCTGAGAAAGGTGAAGGAAAGAGGCCCATCACCTGAAAGGGATGTACTCAGTGAAGGTACAAACTTCAGACAGGCCTAAACCATACCATTCTTGAACCTCTAAAAACCCTTAATTTTAATATCTACACCTTTGGCACAGAGCTATAAAGACCACACCCCAAAACAGCTTTTCCAAACAATGTATGGTTTCACCTTAAATCACAGGCAATATTGACTTTTTAAACTGTGAGTGTAATAGAGCATACCTGGAATGCTGCATATTCAATACATGAATGCTGGTTTATATAACGGGTACACTAAAAGATGCAGCAGATTTTTTGCTTTAAAAAACCCAGCAAAGTATGTAACATAGAAACACTGATGACACTAAAACAAAGATATCTGAATTGAATCAGTTTTTATTTTGTTAAATTAAGATTGCTGGAACAGAAGCTTAGTTTCCTGCTGTAAATGATTTCAAGACTGACTTGATGAAACTGTGTGAAAGTTTAGCCCCCCTGTGGATTGGGTGAGTTTTGCCCTACGTCCCACGTTCTAAAAAAATTTCAGAGCATGGACCAACTGAATTAAAGAGTCTTCTCTTGGTAATCTCCCACTGAGAAAGACCCCACCCTCCCCTCTGATCACCAAACATCCCATTGGCAAGGACAGCAATTGGTTCCATGAAGAGTAATAAAAAGAAAGTAACTGCTGTATTTTGTTTTTCTTATTCCGAGTAAGCAGCTAGAAATGAGAAGGATTAGCATGATGGGACCAACCAGTTGTTCATAGACAAACACATATTTTACAGAACACAATCTTAAGATGTGCTGTTCAAGTTATTAAAGTCTTGCTCTCAGGGTTTTGATGAGTCAGAGGAATAGGTTCTCAGTTTTCATCTTCTTGAGGTAGGATGAAGCCAAAACACTGAGATAGGAAAAGGGCTCGGTGAAAGAGGGTGTTCAGGCAAATCTCTTTTCCCATTTGCAAAGAGCCATATTTATCCGTACCAAATAATTTTGTGACATTTTTGTACCAATCCTCAAATGAAGACAGGAGAGTTAATTTCCTCAGAAATTTTTAAAAAACAGCAGTTTACATGTAAATTGCAGACAAAGGTATAAATGAGTTTCTTAAATTAAACTAATATAAATTATCCCCCTTACCAGATGGGTGGGAGAGGTCAATAACTCTGATTTCAGCTCCTTCAAAGTGTGAAGTAAAGATGCAATAGCCTCATTATTTGATGCAGACCAATCAGTAACTGTTCTGTTAAAATAAAAATATTTTTTTTCAGTTGTATCTTGCACTTCACTGAACCCTACCACAACTTTTCTTTTATCTTTTACTTTTGGACCTTATCTGAATAACAATTTGTAAGGAGAAAAGAGCTGCATGTTTTCTTAACTTACGGGACGTGGGATTTTGAAATAGCATTTCACAGGCATTATAGTTAATGCCTATATTTTGAAATTCCACCCTCTATTATGGAAACTCATAAAAGTGAGAAATCCCACAAGAAAAAAGATTCAACTGCAGTTCACCAAATCCAATAGTGGTTCTCCAACTGTATCCTATACAAACTACTTCAAAAGATTGGCCTCTCAAACTGTAAAATTAATTGAATTGCTACTTACTTATCTACAGTTTTATATATGAATTCATTTAGATGGACAGCCACAAACAGCAACTGTTGTCTTATCTTCTCCAGCTGCTGCCGCAAGTGCAATGTTTCCGTCTCTGTTGTGAAGGCCAGTTTGATGTTGCAATCATTTTTTATGGGACCAGAAACCTCTTGATGACTTTTCTGAGAAGTAAGCTTTCTTTCTTGTTCTTCTAAGTCAGCTAGTGTCTGCTGCAGCTGCTTGATCCTGCATTCATCTTTCTGGTGTTGCAATTCCAATTCATGCTAATAGAACAAGAATAAGAAACCATCTATAATTTAACTGTTTGCACCACCTGCAAACACACCACAAATATCAAAGTGTAATCTCAGTACTGCTTAAGCTGTGCACCCTCCAAGTGCCATCAGGAAAGGGAATTCATTACATTCCCTTGTGCTATTAGGAAACGGAGACACTAGTCCCTCCTCCTCCCTTATACACTTCCAGAATTACTGGTGGAGAAAACTTGATAGAGGCTCCAAGGCCTTGATCCTGGCTGCCTCCATCCCTAGTTATGGAAAAGTGGGACTGGACAGGACCTCAGGCAGTCATCTAGTCCAACCCCCTACTCAAAGCTGGATCATCAGTCTAAACCATCTCAAAGAGTCTGTCACTCTTAGAAACTTCCAGGGAGGGAGATACCACAGCCTCCCTATGTAGTCTATTCCAATGGTAAGCTACCCTCATAGCAAGAAAGTTCTTCCTAATATCCAACCTAAATGTCCCTTCTTTAAGGCAGTTAGTCCTTGTCCTTGTAGCCACAGGGTATAGTCTATCACCATCCTCTGCATAAACGCCTTTCAGGTATTTGAAGGTTGTCATCAAATCCCCACCAGTCTTCCCCTCTCTGGATCTAATAATCCCACTTCTTCAAACTTTTCTGTATAAATCATGTTTCTTAGGCCTCTAGTATTTTTTTTGTGGCTCTCCACTGGATTATTTCTAATTTGTTCACATCCTCATTGAAGCTTGGGGCCCAAAACCAGATACAGTACTCAGGTGAGGCCTCACCTGTGCTGGAGAAAGAGAATGACTTCCTTTGATTTGCCAGCAACACACTAATTAAGGCAACCCAGGATGCTACTGACTTTGTTTGGAACAAAAGCACACTGTTGACTTATATTCATCTTAGAGTCTGCTATAACCCCAAAGTCCTTCTCTGCAGTACCAAAACCTAGCCAGTCATTCCCCAAAGTATTTTTGTGCATGTAATCCTTCCACTGTATGAGCTGGACTTGGCATTTGCCCTTTTTAAATTTAATTCAGATTGCTTTTTCATCCTTTCTGAATGCTAATCCCATCCTCCAAAATGTCTGCAATGACAACATCCACAACTGTGTGGCACTGGATGTCAACAGAACTGTACCTGGAGACAGAAAGTTGCTCCACTAAAGGTTTCTCACCAACAAGATCTAATAAATAGTATTCTAGGACATTATTATTTATAATGGAACAAAACAATCTGGTTTATTTCAATTTAAGGGAAGATTTAAAAAGAGGGAAATCTCACCAGCCTCTCTCTGTCTTTCTGCCATTCCTTCTGTTTCTCCACTTCTGATTGTTGCTCCCATCTTCTCTCTTTATCCCTCTCTTCTTTTTTGTTTTTCTCCTGTTCTCTCATTGCCTTAAATTGTGACTGCAATTCCTCCCAGTCAGCTTTCAGTTTTCCTTCTCTTTCCCTCTGCACCTCTAAGGAGCGGATCACCTCCTGCTTTTGACTTTGAAGAGACTCCAGTGTAGCTCGTAACTTGTTACTGATTTCTCTTTCTTTTTGTGTCTCTTCGCAACACATTTGTACCTCAGCTTCTAGTTGCCTCTTAGAACGAATGGCTTGCTGATGCGTTTTCTCAATTATAGCAGCTAGCTCTTTTGCTCGAGACCTCTCTTCATCCAACTGAACCTGCAGATCTCGAACAAAGGTCTGTTCCAATAATGATTCTTTATGAGGACATGAAACACCTTCTTTTGCTCTCATGCTCAACTGTTCTGTCAAAATACGCTCATGGTTCAAGGAATTCAAAAGCTCCAAGGAACGATTTCTCTCAACTTCCAAATTTCTCTGAAGTTCTGACAGTTTGGTTCGTTCCTGGGACAATAAAGCCTCACAACGCGAGTGTTCAATTTGAAGTTCTTTACGGAGATTATCATTTGCTGTCTGTTCATGCTCTAAGGCCACTGACAGCTGATTATTCTGAATGCACTGCAATTTCAAGGTAGCTCGCAACTCCTATTAAAAAAAATAAAACACACACACATTATATATTTATAATTATTATACTCTGCTCAGATAAACATATTGGGTAATATTTTTACATTGTACTTCATCCACGAAACATCTGAAGAAGCAGCTAGAATAATTTATTATTAAATTGTTTAAACTTATGCACAGGACAAACAGTCTGCTAGGAATTTAAGCTAGACTGCAGAGTATCTCTTTTTGTTATTAATTCCAGTAATACTTTCTTTACCTTAATTGTCATAAAATTAAAATATTTTAACTGCCAATATTTTTTTACGGGTAATATATGTAGTACTTGGAAATTAAAGCCCTGTGCATTAGCTAGACAGCATAAATAGCTTCTGGAGCAGAAACTGAGCAGTCTTGATCTTCACTCAGAAATCTAGAAAAAGGTAACAAAAAGGTAAGGCTTGGCACCTAAGATGGACAAGACCTTAGACTTCACAGTTTCTAGTTTTTAAGACGCCAAGAACTCACTGAGAAAACTGTGTACTGAATATCACTGAATCTATACGTTTAAGAAATTAACATATTAGACAAGTGCATCTCATAATTCTTCCTTCAGAAGCGTGAGGGAGTGGAGATCATAGTGTCAGGGTAGCTTTGCTGTTG